CTAGAATGCGACCTTGTACCCTTTACATCACCCTCCATACCCCCCAGCCCAGGGCAAATACTAATCTACTCTCTGTCTCCATGGATTTGCCTCTTCTGAATATGTCATGTAAGTGGAATCATACAGTGTGTGGTCTTTGTGTCTGGCTTTCTCTTCAAATAGTGTTTTCAAGATTCCTCCATGTTGTAGCATGTATCAGAATTTCACTTTTTTTAAATTATCAAATAATATTCCATTGTATGGCTGTATCACATATATCCATATCATGTATGATTTGTAAGTATTTTTTCCCATTTTGTGGGTTGTTGTTTTTATATATGTCCTTTACAGTTTCCTTTGAAGCAAAAGGTTCTAATACTAATGAAGTCCAGTTTATTTTTTGTTTCTTATGCTTTCGATGTCATTTAAGAAATTATTGATAAATCCGAGATCAGGAAGATTTACTTCTATATTTTCTTCTGAGAATCTTATAGTTTTAGCTCTGACAGTTTAGATCTTCAGTCGATTTGGAGTTAGCTTCTGTACATGGTGTGAGGTAGGGGTCTGATTTCATCCTTTTTTGTGTGGGTATCTGGTTGTCCCAGCACCATTGTTGAAAAGATGATTCTTTCCCGGTGACTTCTGTCACTGATTTTGACAAGAGTCAAAATCATTTAACCAGGGGCTTCTGGGTGGTTTAGTCAGTTAAGCATCCCACTCTTGATGTTGGCTCAGATCATGATCTCAGGGTTGTGAGCTCTGCTTCAGGCTCTGCACTCATCAGGGAGTCTGCTTGAGGTCACCTCCCTTCCCTGCCCTGCCCATGATCCCTCTTCCTCTCTCTCTTAAAAAAAAATAAAAAATCAATTAACCATACATTTGAGGATCCCCTCTGGCTTTGGTATGTATTTCCCTGATGACTTGTACTGAGTGTAAGATTACATGCTTAGTGACTATTTGTCTTTGGTTTAAATCTTTTGCCCATTTGTAAAAATTGGGTTTTTGTCTTTCTGATATTGAGGTACAGGTGATTTTTGTATATTATTCATATCAATATTTTTGGTCAGATACACATACTGTAAATATCTGTTCTCAGTCTGTGACTGACTTTCATTTTCTTTGCTGTGTCTTTCAAAACACCAGTTTTTTATTTTGTTGAAGTGCAGTTTTTCATTTTCTTCTTTTATCCTTTGTGTTTTTGATATTCTGTCTGAGTGTCTTGGCTTACTTCGAAATTGTGAATCTTTTCTTCCATTTTCTTCTGGGAGTTTATAGTTTTGGCCTTTATGTTTAGTTCCGTGACCTAGAGCATGTGTGCGTGCACGTGTGTGTGTTTAAGATGAGGTCAGAGTGTCTCTTTCTACAGTGATGACATTTGCTCCTTCAGAAAATATCTTTTGAGTACTTACTGCCAGGCCCGGAGGTTACTGTTTTAACTAGACAGGCGTATCCGCTCCCTTCATGGAACTTAGTTTTTATGAAAGAAACAAGTTTTGTAAGTGCAGGGTTTAGTGAATCCCCTGAAGGGAACAGGAGGGTCTTAGCCACAGTGCCCGTTTGTCCTGACAGTGGCTGTGGAGGCCTCTTGTAGTTGGTGACCTGTGAGCTCAGGCAAAGAAGACGAGAAGGAACTAGGTGTTCAGAGACTTGGGGACCAGTTTTCTGAGGAACAGGTCGTGGCCTGAGATGGGGTAATGCCAGTGTGTGTGAGGATCTCAGAGTGTCCGTGGTTGAGATCTCTGGGGAGAGGAATCTTAGAGGCAGGGATGTGTTCCTGCAGGCCTGTGGAAGGGATTTGAATTTTATGCACGTCTCTGTCTTTATTCCTCAGTATGCCCTCTCAGTGTCAGACCTACATGTGGGGCTGCCTGCTGGGCGAATTCTTGTGGATGAAGCGCAGGAGAACTTGCTGTCTTCTGTTAACTGCCTCCTGACTTCATTTTCTGTCTTGGTTTAGGTGCCTTTTCTTTCCCTGTTGTGCCAGCCAGAGCCCTTTGAATCAGAATGCCTAGTTTCCTGTTCCCATCCTGTTATGGAGAGAGGGCCCCTCACACACAGGAAAGAGAGAAGTCAGCTATTATTACAAGGCTTGTAGTGAAACAGTGGTCCCTTTTTAACCCCTTCCCCCAGTTCCAGTTCCCCAGAGGTAACACCTCTCCACCCGTGCATCTTGCTGCAGCTGTCTTGACCTCTGTACTCCCAGTTACCATGGCCCCACTGCTGCCTTACTTTCCAGTTTCTGGTACTGTCTAGATTTTGTAGTTGGGAAATGCAAATTTAGCTCTCCAAGCGGCCATGTTCTGGGGGACCCCACGCTATGTACGTGCCCCTACTCATTGCACCCACACTGCTCTCCTGATTCAATGAATAAAATCTGCAGCTGATGAGCTAAATCAGCCATTTTGCTTTACATTATTACAACTGGGAAAGTTGTTTTTAGCTGAATCTGAAAATGCACACAGATACATTTTCTTTTGTGTGAAACTTTGTCCTACCTGAGCTCAGCCTGGTATCCTTGAGTCCGGCACTCCCCTGGTCCTAGTCATCTGAAAACGGAGCCTGTCACCTGCTTTGGTGGCAGGAGCAAGTGGGGTTCAGTGGCCCTGACTGTGGGCACAGTTAGGGGTGCGGCTGCTGTTGTTCCTCAGACCCACCCTTGCTGCCGGAGCCCTTGAGGTCTGAGGAGAGGAGTTCAGTCCCTTGTCCTCCCTCGTCCAGCTTCCAGGCTTGGGTTTCCTTTTCTGTATTTGCTTTTCAGTTCCCCAGACATCTCTTATCTACTCTTTATTTCTGTTGGTCTGTGTCATTTTGTTTTACTTTACTCTCATTTGAATGGGGTTTCGAGGGCAGGAGAGAAAAACATATGTGCTCAGTCCACCAGTTGTAACAAGAGCTCAGGAACATTCCATTTTTATTTCTAAATACTGCTCATTCAAAGATCTCCACCCAGTCCCACAGCTTTGGTGCAACTTGTGGCATCTCCTACCCCCACAGTCCCTGACCGGACTCCTTGCCCTCAGTATTCCTGTGCTGAAACACATCCTGCAGAGTGGCCTGTCCAGGGCCCCCCACCTCCCCTAGCACCTGGGACCCGCAGCACGAGGGCCGTTGAAGCCCATGGGCTTGGCAGCAGACACAGCCCTCCGGGCGACCTGTGTGACCTCCTTGTCCTTGGAAATCCTTGCTCCAGTGCATTCACTGCAGTCACACCAAGTGGTGTCTGTTTTCCCAGAGTTGTCATGCTTTTGTTCGCTTTGCTTGGACTTTTGTCTGTGCTCTTCTTCCAGACGGAAGATCTGCATCCTCCCAAATCTGCCTCCTCATCAGAATTTAATCTGGTGGTCGCCTCCCACCTAAAGCTTCTCCTGGCTCCCGTAGTATCACTTGTGCTCTCTGGCTTCTGCTCTACCTTGTTGTTGTTCTCTTATTATAATTATTGTGCTGTGGTTTTTTTTTTTTTTTAACTTTTTGCATTTTTTGCAAACTTCTTTCATGGCTGGCTTAAAAGATAGTTGCATTGTTCTGTCTGCCTCTGCAATGTATCGGGATCTCACACACACACACACACACACACACACACACACACACACAGCTTTAACTTCATTGTATGCTCATGAGAGAGAAATGAGAAAGGCAAATGAAGCCTTCTTGTGCTAAAAAACGGTACTGACCTCACATGCCCTCAGAAGGGGCTTAGGGACTCCAGGGGTCTTCTACTACACTTTGAAATTCATTAGCCTAGCGGTAAGTAGTATTGTCAGTTTGGTGTGTAATCTTCCAGACTTTGCTTAAAATGAGAAATACTGTGTTATATATAATATACAGCATCATATTTACGTTTCTGAAGTTTTGTTTTTATTCTTAATATATATATATTTTTAAAGATTTTATTTATTTGACAGTGAGAGATACAGCCAGAGAGGGAACACAAGCAGGGGGAGTGAGAGAGGGAGAAGCAGGCTTCCCGCGGAGCAGGGAGCCTGATGCGGGGCTCCATCCCAGGACCCTGGGATCATGACCTCAGCCAAAGGCAGACGCTTAACAACTGAGCCACCCAGGCGCCCCATTCTTAATATATATAAGAAAGTTTTCTATATGAATTTGATATATTTGCCCTATTCTTCTTTTGCATTGTATTTTAATTATATTTTCAACTGTCATTTGCATACTAAATGTTGAACAGTGACAGGTTTATGAAATATAGTCGGAGATGCGTGTAGGGGCTGTATTTTAAAAAGATTGAAACAACAGGTAGGTAAGATTATTTTGTAAACACAGGAATGATTGAAGGCTTTTGATCAGGGTTGTGGAGAGATGAATAAAACGTTTTAAGCTTAATCTTTCAGTAATAATATGAATGAATGAGAAGAGTAGGAACTATAGGTAAGGAGATCATTTAGAAAATTATTGTAATTGTTTGGATTTGAATGTCTGAATGCTTGGAAGTAGGTAATGGTCCGGGGATTCCCAAGACAGGCAGGGAGGTGTGAAGGCAGTGTAGGGAGAGTGGAAATGACAGACTGATGACAGACAGTTACGGGTGGTGGGGCACAGCCTGGAGAAGCTGGGATCGCCCAGCCAGCTCTCTGTTGAAACATCAGTTTTGGGGGCAAGATAATCTTTCTGGCCGAATTTCTTTAGGGCCCTTCTAGCTCTAGGTTATTCCTTTCATGTCCTGTTTACCCTTCTACTATTCATTTAACAGCATATGCTTATACCGTGTGTGTGCCCCGCTCTCCTCAGTCTGAAGGCTGTTACAAGTCTAAAGTTACTGCATAAAAACCGCTTCCCTTAGCTGCTTCTCACTTCTCCTTTATGCTTTAAAAACACTGTAGAGAGACTGTTTTGGAAAGTTGAATTTATATTGCCCTTTGTATTTGGTTATAGATGTACTTACTGTAAAAGTCATGTCTATTCACATGGCCTGTGCATCTCTTAAATTGCTGAGTGATATATATGCGCTGATGCGATGCTGTGTGGCTAACAGGAACACATTATGCTCTGTTAATTTAATCACACAGATGCCGGACAGCTGGAGCACACATCGATGAAGCACTCTTCCCTGCAGCTAACACTAGGGAACACCTACCAAGCCTAATTAAAAAAAAAGTAAGTATGTGATTTCGACAGTGGCAGTTATGAGTGTATTCATTCTTTTATTCCTAGAAAATGACATTTTGTGGAATATATATATTATATATTAAGAGGTGCTTTAAGTGTTGGAGTTGATGATACTGTTCTTTCCACATAGGGTTTTTAAGAAAGTTACAGACATTAGTGTATCCTTTAAATGCCTTGATGTAATTTGTGAGAAGTGGAAGAGCTGTGTCTGGCCAGTGGAAAACTAAAAGTTGCCAGGAGACCAGCAGCCATGCAGGTGCACTGGGAACTGCTTCAGAATTCGGTTTTTTATGTCTGCAGCAAGATACCTTTGTACTGCTGTTTAGCTGGAAATTCTCAAGTCGGATGCAGAAATATCCAAGTTATTTATTAAATAGTTAAGTGCAAACATAAAGACACTGCTTTCCTCTGAGGTCTAGTTCACATTTGATTCACAACATTTTCACTCTTTTATTATTTAAAAGTTTTAATTGTGATTTCTTTATTTGAGGTAAACTGGTTTACTAGGAAACGTCAGAGTTGCTTTGTTTTCACGTGAGGATCCCTGTTGGGGAGGAGATTTGCAGGCTTTGTCCAAACTGAGTTAGACAGACTAGACCCATACATTTCCTGTAGGTTAAGGAAGACGATCCTGTGGGCGTCTCAGATTTTCTGTAAATGGTGAATCCTGTATCTCAGACATTTCATCTCGGGCACGCTGGGATTTGCAGGGCAGTGATGGACAAACTTAACTCCAGTTTCTGTCCAGATCTCCTTCAGTTAGAGTGATGGACAAATTTAACTCCAGTCTCTGTCCAGATCTCCTTCAGTTAGAGTGATGGACAAACTTAACTCCAGTCTCTGTCCAGATTTCCTTCGATTAGAGGTGAATAGAGCCTCTAAGTCCCCACTCTTAAGTGATATGCCAAGCAATAGCTGTGTCTGCCCTTTTAGAAATAAAGGACTTATTTTAAAAACACATTAATAATATGAGTGTATTTTCATCGTAAAACATTGGGTAAACACAGATAAAGGCAAATACCTCTCTTAATGTCTCTTTCCTCAAAATAAGCAATTTTTGGTTTGACTTGGGTCCTTGCAGATGGTCTCCAGTACACGTACATTACAGACACACGCACGCATATGCACACAAACGCGCACACGTTTTGTACAGTGAGGTTCTGTGTTACATGTATTGTCTGGGAGATTGCTTTTTTCTTCTTCACGTAACAGTGTGTTTGACCATTTCATGACAGTGTATAGTAGCTCTTCACTCTTCCATATTTATTATACAGCATCAGTGTGTCGGTCTTGGATTCGTGCACCCTTAAATCATTGTCAGTTTTTACTAAGCACGTTGTTTATGTGACATGTTTGAGTTTATTTCTCCAGGTGGATTGTCTAGAAATGAAGTGACTGGGTCAAATGTACATGCACTTTAACAGTTCCACCACTAGTGTACAGGGGTACCTGTTTCTTGACACAGTGACTAGTGCTGCATATTATTAATCTTTGTCATTTTCCTTGATCTGAAGCATAAGTAATGACTGCTTACCCACCTCATTTAAATGTCCACTTGTGCCTGAAAACATTTCCTTTCCCTTTTCTAAGTGCAGTTGCAAAGCGAACATGACTTCAGACCATATTATTTTGGGCTCTTTGACAAGGTTCTTGGCTTCCCTCTCCCTTCTTTCTGTTGCCAGCCTGACCCTCTTGCTTGCTGTTCTTAAATTCACCAAGCATACTTGTGATTTAGAGCCACTGCATTGCATATCTGTTCCCTCTATCTGGAACATGCTTGCCCCAAACTTCATGCGCGTGACCATTTTTCTAACTTTAGTAGGGCTTTGTGCCAGAGTTCTTGTCTCAGGGAGACCCCCTCTGACTGCCCTGTGTACAGTGGTGTCTCCTTCCCACTGCTCCAGCTCTCCTGATCCCACTCTCGTGCTGTTTTCCTGTCTGTCCCGGGGACTCGCCCCTTTCTGATATACTGTAATAAGGGTGGCAGTTAGCTGGGGTTCAGTTGCCAACAAAGATTCACAGGACCCTAAAGGATAATGTTTGAGAATCTGGGGAGCACCCTGGGACCAGGGAGGCCCAGGGGAGACTCTTGTGTTGTGCTGGTCATGTACCTCTCTTGTCAGTACATTACCTCCCCCAACAGCAGAGCCCTCCCACTGGTGATAGGCAGTTGACCAGCTCTGGGAGTACAAATGCTCCCAGATTCTCTGGACTCATGGTTACAAAGCAACATTGTTCATTAGGACATTGCATGCTGTGCTTGTACTTCGGGGAAAACAGTTCAGGCCAGTTCCAGGCCTGCTGGAATTAACCCTCTTGACACACATAACCTCTATTTTACTTATTAATGATGTTTATTTTCTGTCATTCTTTATAGTAGAGTATAAGCTCCTGATAGCCAGAATCTTCTTCTGTTCCAAGACCAGTGCCTGACACATATATTTTTGTTAAATAATGAATGAGAGCAAGATGCTCAGTCAAGAACACAAGTGTGGGTGTGGGAAAGTTAACCGAAGACATTCTTTGGACATTAGCCTCAGGCTTCATCCTCTTTGTCACACCTTGTATGTGTATTTCGAGTTTTGGGGTTTTACTGGCTGAATAGAATTACTGTGATTTAAAGGCAATACAGCAGGATTCAATATTGGTTCCTTTCTTTGGTAGTTAGACAATAATTGTTTTTGTACTTTGTTACCATGTTATGATTTTGGGGGAGGGGGAAGGAGGAGAGATAATTTTAGAGTAACAAAAATAAGGAAAACGACTAATTTTGTTTAAGAACCTTCATGGAAACTAAGATTGCTGGGATCCTGAAAATGCCTCAGAAAAACGTAACTACTTAGTGTACAGTCTTGTATCTAGTCTTTCAGTTCTGCTTCAGTTCTTAGGCGCGGAAAGAAGGAAATATTGTGGTTTCACATGCAGTGCAAGAAATGCCTCTGTCAGGTTTTACTTGCGGTGTTGTTGACAGGTATCAGAAGCGTTGGGAACAGGTTGTCTCGTTACACAGCTGTGGTACAGTAGTATTCATTTTTATGTCCTTTCTGCACAGAGGAAGTGTATGCAGCCCAAAGATTTTATTCCTAAAACACCGGAACATGATAAAAGGCTTCAGAAGAAATTTGAGAAAATGGCTACAGAGCTACAAAGGCAGAAGAGAAGTCTGGGTGAGTCCAGGAATCCAGCGCGGTCCCGTGCACCTGTTTCAGCTGCCGGACGGCCGGTGGTTCCCCGGGAGGATCTGGCTGCGGGAGACTGGACCGCTGCTGCCGGAGGGCCATGGTGTGAGCTCATGGGCCAAAGTCTCCATCACTCACCACATCGATGGAGCTTTTTACTTCAAGGAATGACTATGGAAAAACAGATTTTGACTAAGAAGCCCTAATAGAATAAACCCCTGTTCATTTCTTTGTTCTTTGTATCTCACTTTGTGTTTTTAATACTTGGTCTTTTTGTTTTGTTACCTAGAATAGGGAAATGTTAGATAATATATTCTTTCCTTTATTTCACTTTAAATATAATTTTTATCTTTCAATTATTCCTCACTAAAGCTAAAAAAAAAAAAAAATGAAACACATTTCACATTTCATTGTCTTTGGGCTTTCAGAATACCTATTTACAAATTAGCCCATAGTTGTATTTTTGCTCTTTTAAAGGTATATTTTCTTTTAACTTTGCCTTTTGTTTGCTTTTTTTGCCTCCAGCAGTTTGAATTTTATGTTCATTGGTTCATTTTTCTTTTTTTTTTAAAGATTTTATTTATTTATTTGACAGAGATAGCGAGAGCAGGAACAAAAGCAGGGGGAGTGGGAGAGGGAGAAGCAGGCTTCCTGCTGAGCAGGGAACCCGATGTGGGACTCGATCCCAGGACCCTGGGATCATGACCTGAGCCAAAGGTGGATGCTTAACAACTGAGCCACCCAGCCTCCCGGTCCAGTTTTCTTTTTAAATATCCTACTTGGAGTTCACAGAGGTACTTGAATTCTTTTTCCCCCTTCTGTGCATCAGTTTGTATATTGTCTATTGATCTTTTTTTTATAGTTCGTTAATATGTTTTCCTGCCATGTCTAATCTGCTATAAAATCCATTTATTCAGTTCATAATTTTGGTTATTTTATTTGCAGTTCTAGGGTTTCTGATTTTTTTTATAGATTCTGTTATTCTGATTAAATCACTCACATTTTTTCTTTTCATCTTTCTTTGCTTCTCTCTGCAATATCTAGAACGCCTCTGTTGTTTTATATGATGTTTTTTCTCTTGTTTTTTGTCATATACGTCCTGTCTCTTAGTAGGAATGGACGGTTTTTGTAATTGAAGACAAGTCATTAGTTATAAAATATGCTTGAAGCTCTAGGCATTATTATTTTCTTAGACACAAAGTTTCTAGTTTCCTCTGCTAAGCAGATGGAGGGGGGCCTTGTTGGCTTTATCTGGACTGATTTGAATAGGAGCTTCACTGACTTTCGGTAAGGCTTGGTAGACTTCTGATTTGACATTGATGCCAGAGTGGCCATCTAGACCTTTCCTTTCCTTTCCTTTTTTTTTTTTTTTTTTTTAAGATTTTTATTTATTTATGAGAGAGAGAGAAAGAGAGACAGCAGGGGCAGAGGGAGAGGGAGAAGCAGGCTCCCCATTGAGCAGGGAGCCTGACGTGGGGCTCGATCCCAGGACCCTGGGATCACGACCTGAGCAGAAGGCAGACACTTAACCGACTGAGGCACCCAGATGCCCCCGTCTAGACCTTTCCACTGAAAGCCTGGCACGATAACTAGGATCTCTTCCCCTGACTGGTCCTGAACTCCCATTTTCATCTCTCAGTGAAAATACACCACAGATAACTTTCCACCATTTCACGGAAGAATTCGACTTCACTTTTAGTATCCTGCCATTTGTAGCTTCAGAATTGGGCAACTTTCTTGAAGATAAAATCATATACATGCAAGGATCTGTTTTCTACTACACCCTGTTTAGTGGGATTTGGTGCCGCAAAACCTTTGGTTTTCTCTTTAGTTTGTTGATACTGATAAACACCTAGCTTGTGTCTTTGTTTCTCAGCAACTTCTCTGTGCCTGGTCAAAGACTGGACCTTCAGCCTCTGCCCCAGGGGTCTTAATGATAAATCCTCCTGGGGATAAAAACATCCACTGCTTGTCAGCTGGCCTCTCAGTGCTCCTCCTTTCCAGAATCTTGACTCCTCTGGTCCTGGTCTCTTCAATAATTCCCTGATGCTTTTACGCAGACATTATTTGTATTTTATATAGATTCTATATTTTCTTTTTCTCTGTGTAGGCATTAGTTGGCTTCAATATACTTTATTTCTTTGTCTTGAATCATTTGTAAAACCTTAAAGCACTTGAACAGTGGCATAATCACCGTTGTTTGTGGTTGCGTTTTGCACAAGGCTACAGATACCACGTTATGAACTTGGGAGATCTAGATAGCAACAAGCTGCTTCTCTGGAATCCAAAAATAGGGAAATTTTTGTCCTGATGTGTTTAATCATAGAGTCATTTCTATTCTTTTTTTTTTGAAGCGTAATTGACCGAACAGTAGTTTCAACTATATGGTGTATTGATTCACCGTTTATATATGTTGTAAAATGATCACCACAAGTCCAGTTAACCTCTATCACCGTATTTACAAAGCATTTTTTTTCTCATGATGGCACTTTCAAGATCCGGTTTCCCCAACTACTTTTCAAATTGTAGTATGGTGTTACTAACTGTAGTCACCATGCCATACATTACATCCTATGACTCATTCATTTTATAACTGGGAACTTGTACCTTTGGAGCCCCTTCACCCATTTTGCTCATCCCCCCACCCGGGGCCTCCGACAATCACCAGTCTGTTCTCTCTACCCATGAGCTTTGTTGTTTTGATTTTTGTTTTCTCATTTTGTTTATAGATTCCACATATACTAACATCATACAGTATTTATCTTTCTCTGTCTGACTTATTCCACTCAGTGTAATGTGCTCTAGTTCTATCCATGCTGTCACGAATGGCAAGGTTTGTTCTTTTTTATGGCTGAATAGTATTCCTCTGAGTGTGTATGTGTGTGCGTGTGTACACACCCCATTTCTTTATTAATCCATAGTGGACATGTAGGTTGTTTCCATGTCTTGGCACTTGTAAATAATGTTGCAGTGAACCTGAGGGGGGGTGCAGATATCTTTTTGCATTAGTGTTTTCCTTTATTGTTTTTTTTTTTTTTTTTAGTGTTTTCATTTCTTTCAGGTAAATAAATACCCAAAATTGGAATTACTGGATCTTTTGGAAGTTCGATTTTTAATTTTTTAAGAAAGCTCCATAGAGTTTTCCACAATGGCTATACCAATTTACATTTCCATCAAGAGTATGCAAGAGTTCCTTTTCTGTACATCCTTGCCAACACTTGTTATTTCTGGTCTTTTTGATAATAGTCATTCTAATATGTGGTTGGAATCTCATTGTGGTTTTGATTTGCATTTCCCTCCTGATGAGTAGTGCTGACTCTTTTTTATGTACCTGTTGGATATTTGTATGTCTTCTTTGGAAAAATGTCTTGTTTAGATCTTCTGCCCATTTTAAAATTCGATTTTTTTTTTTTTTTGCTACATGTATTCCTTTAATGATTTATAAAAATACTTTACAACATCATGAAACTCTAAAGTACCATATGTGTTTTTTGCATTTCTCTTTTTTGCCTTTTTCACTACCTAAATTCAGTGTTTCAGACCAATCCCAACACATCAGTGATACATGTAAGCAATTTCGGTAACTATATAATGCATGGCATAAAAATAAGAAGTGCTAATTCCTCTACTTTTTTGTTGTAGTGTATATTGCCATATTACAAATTCTCTGTATTTTGAAATTTTTCATGCAGAATTATCAAGCTTTATTTTAAATCTGTCATGGTAATGCAACAGAATTGACTAGAACATTTAGCTTGTATATACAGTGCTGCCGGATAATTTCCAAAAACATTGCCTTTATCATTTGTTTTTGTGCTGAGTCATCCCAGTGCCTGAGAATCAGGCCTCTTTTTCTTGGTGCCATGCTGGTCCCTCCCAGCCTCTCGCTAACTGTTCTACTGTGCTGCTCCAGCCAGAGACACATGGAGTAACTCTTGACATCCCTTTCTGCCTGATGCCAGTTACCCACCATGATCCTTACCCCCTGCTTCTGGATGATTGCTTGACTCCTCCGCCGATCTTTCTCTAAGCATCAACCCCAGGGGAACCCTCCTAGCGGCTCCTTGACTGGTCCCTAGAGGCGCTGTGTCCTCAACCACCCATCAGCTGTACTTGCATGAGAAGGGTGTAAACCAGAAGTCAGGTGCACACCCCACCCAGGGCTTCTACTTCCTCAGGTCATCGTAAGGAAAAGTATTTTGGATGGAACCCCGTGTTTCACCTGCCCTGCAGCACCACTTGCCCTCTGTGGTCTGGTCAGGTCAGCCCTTGTTACCACTGTCCTGTCAGCTTTATACTCTTGCTTTTCAGGCCTTCTTCTTACACCACAGTAATGGTGTATTTTAAAAGAATTTGGCAAAATGGTACTGAAAAAAACTTTTATCTTTTTGGATCAAATTTATATCTTAATAAAAATTGCCTTTTAAACACTACAAATATAAGGTATTACAGATACAACTGACATGCCTGCATATTGGCAGAAGTGTAGTTAGAGTTGTTCAGGCTTAAGAGTTGCAAAGAAGATACTGAATGATTCTTGGTCTTTTTATTGGTGGGTGAGGGGAGGTGGTCAGAGCCCTGAAGTTCTCCTTGAGCATATGCCAGGTATGGATTCCAGAAAAACACATACCTGTGCACCCACACCCAGTTTAGCCATCATTTCATGGTTGACGGACTCCTGACCCCAAAGTTGATATGTGTGTCTGTTGAGGGTCGGAGAGGGTTGGTTAGTGGTGGTGGTTTCTGAGACCTAGAGGTAACACTACTCTTAGAGGCAGAACTGTTTCTACACCCATCTTAGGTTCTCAGCTCATAGAACCTTAGTGCTTTTGTTGAACAAGGAGAGGCAATTGTGGAAAAGTAAGATATAAGGGAACCAAAGGAGGATAAGAGGTCCTTTAATAAGGCCTGATTTACAGAATTCTCTTGGCGTCAGCTCCCCTTCTCTGGTGATAAAGTGGAGGGGGTGCATCTTTCAAAGGGGAGTTTTATCTCCTGCCTTCAGGAAGAAGCTTGGTGTGGGGTGGGGAGTGTCAGAGCGCCTTTCTTTCACCTGCTGTGATTTAAGTGCATTCTGCTCAAAATAATCCTTACGCCAAAGTGACATGTTTGGGGTGATATATTCTGTTGCTCTTCATCAGCATTTAGGAACCAGATTGCACTCTGCCTTTACCTTCTCACTAGTTGTGTGATCCTGGATATAAACAAGTTAACTTTTGTGTCTTGGTTTCTTCATCTTTACATGGGGAGACTGATAATCTGATGCACTGGGTTTGGGAAAGGTTGAATGAAACAGTGACGTGTTGTGCTTAGCCCAGTGCCTGGTGCATGACATTCCTCAGCAAACGTTAGCCAGCAGTTTTCGCACCAGTGTTACTGCTCGTGGGCTGGTGGGCTGAAGATAGACTTGGTAGCAGTGGGTAATGATGTTGCAGGGGACGAGGAAGACCGTGGGTGTGGGGGGAGGGGGTTGTTCCTCGAAAGGAATCCTGTTGTTGAAGTATTAAACCTTCTGGCCTTTTATTTTTTTAGCTAAATAAAGTTCTGTTTATTTTCAGATAATGATGTACCTGTCCTCTTATTTGAATCTAATGGCTCATTGATGTATAGTCCCACAATTAAAATGTGCAGCGGCCAGCATAGTCTAATGGAGAGGAGATTACAGGAGATGAAGGAGAAAAGGGAGAACCTCTCCCCTACCTGTAAGTGCTTGCATTTTATAAAGTGAAAGGCAGATTGTTGGGTGAGTAAGTTGTGCTAGAAGGGTTTTTTTCTCTTTACCTAGGTATTTTAGTTTCTTGATTCTAACAGATTTTTATCTATTTCTGGGTAGACTTTGTTAATATTTTCTTCCAGAAAATCTTATGCTTCATTGAGATTTTTAAAGCCTATGTTGAGTTTATAGTTTTAAAGCATATATTCTAAGCACATATTGGGTGTGTAGTGTTGGATGTATAGGTTGAGAATCCTATTTTTTATAGCCCCTTTGTAATTTTTAAAATCTCTGGGGTATTTTCCTTTAAAAAAAATAATCAAGCTCTTCTGTTGAGGGAATCTGCTTTTAGACTAAGTATCTCATGCCTTAGTTTTTGTTTTTCTTTGTTTCTGTTATATTAAAATTTTTTTTTTTTAAAGATTTTATTTACTTGAGAGAGAGTGAGCAAGCTTGAGCAGGGGAAGAGCAGAGGGAGAAGCAGGCTCCCCACTGAGCGCAGATCCTGACATGGGGCTTGATCCAGGGACTCTGAGATCATGACCTGAACCGAAACCCAGAGTTGGGTGCATTGACCAACTGAGCCACCCAGGTGCCCCTCAAAATCTCTTCTAACTTTATATCCTATGGTTTAATCCTTTTTTAACCTGATACATGTAGATTATTTTTTATGAATCTCATCATCCGTAATAGATTTGAGTAAGTTTTTTGTGCTTATTGTTTTGTAGTAGGTCTGGGAAATGAAGGACCAGGTGTAAGTCGATGTTTGTGTGGAAGAGCAGAATGTGTTGGCTTATCATGGGCTTCATCTACTAACATGTCAGTGTTGTATCTGATGAAGTGTGCGATTATGTTTTCAGCTTCGCAGATGCTTGAAAAGTCTCATGATAACCCAGCTAACTCCCCATGTGAAGCTTCTTGGAACATTTCACATGATACTTTGTGTTCAGGTAAAATTATTTTCTTTTCTGTGATATATTTAAACTATGAGAACATGGTGATTTTCTTATTTGGAGTATCTTCTGATGTCAAGAACAGTTGGTTAAAAACTAGAATTCATGAATTTTACCCTGAAATTGGTATTAAAATAAAAAATAGATATTGTAATACAATTAGGGCATAAGAAATTGCATGAGTTAAACCTCCTTTTTGGCTCCTACAGTTTTTCTCTTAGGCATTTGCTTTCTTGGCACAGAATCAATTGCTCATTTTTTTTAAAAATTCATGTTCTGTGTACTAACTTGCATGCAGTATAAACTGTCTTACCGAGAACAGTGTGAGAAATTCTTGTTTCACACCATGGGTAAAGACTCTGGAACATGTGACTGAAGGGGGTCAGTGAGCTGTGTAGACATCATTAAAAAAATTAGAAGGTAAATGGCAGAATTTCTGCCTAGAAACAGAGTGTTGGAAAGAATAAAATTAGGGTTTTATATTATACGTACACTTGAAATGTGGGAGCCCGTGTTTCACTTTGAATGATAATTTTTCATGCTTATATAGCTTTCCTTTGAGTAAGTTTTAAGAAATGTGATATAACCACCCAGTGTCACCTACGGAAGGGCCCAGGTAAGTAGCAGTGCTCTGAAAGCCACAGCAGTGACAGGTGACAAACAGTGGGAAGGTGTCAGGAGTTTAACCACGGCTTCCTGTAAGTGGGGCTTATTCTTATAATCTCTTCAGTGTGTATCAAAATTACGCATCTGTCTTAAATAATCTCTTTCTTTTTATTTTTTACTCGATGTTCTTATATAAGTTGGACACGAGTGGTAGTAACTAACAGATTTCGTTTTTCCAGTGTCTTATATGCTGTACCTCATTTAATTCTCTCACTGGCCCTACAAAGTACATACCATTGTCACTCCCTTTGTGTCCATGAGAAAACTAGGCCAGAGAGGTCAAATAGCTCGTAAAAGTTGACATCGGTTGTGAGTGGCTAGCCCAGGATTCGAACTTCGGCAGTCTGACCTCAGAATTTATGCTTCATGACATGCACACTGCTTGTCAGCTTTTTGAAAAGTGTGTTAAGCTTGTTGAGCTGCTCATGCTAAAATTGTCTTGTATCTCTAGCTCCTCACTTGGAGACACGCAGGCTCCCTGACTTGGTGTGGGGACAGTGCCACCCCCGCTAGGGGCTTCCCTCCACTCCCTGCTGGTTACCTCCGTTCTTCTTTAGAAGGAGAGCCTTTAGTAGTTTTGGGTTAAAGGCTTCAGATTCCAGAAAATAGTGTCTGTGCTCCGGGAGCTTCTAGGCTATTGAGAGGGACAGATAGGAATACTAATAATAATAGGACACACGCTTTTGGGAACTTCCGGCAAAGTTCTGCGTAACAGAGGAGGATGTGTGTAACTAGCCCTGGTGAACTGGGAGGATTTGGAGATTTTTCAACATCTGAGGTGGGTTTTGAGTAGGATTGACCCAGATTAAAGCGTGGAGTGAAGGGAAGGCCTGGAAGTAGAACATGTGTAGTTTTCAGGAAATGGGTGGCAGCCTAGCAATGCTCTCAAGAAATGTATAGAACATGTGGGAAGTCAGAACCATAAGATCTCCCAGGTGGTTTGCTTTTGAGTATAGATGCAGCATAGAGGACAGGGAATTCAGGTGGGCTGCGTCGTGGAAGGCTAGACCTTGACGTAGACGGTAGCATTAGTTCTTACCTTTTAGAATTATTGACCTCCTTGAGAATTTAATGACAAGGTGTGGATGCTTTTCCTGGAAGGAAGTGCACATGTATATTAATGTTCAGAAACTGAGCGTAACAGTTTTAGAGGTTTGTCCCCTCCCCACAGCCCCCATGCCCTCGATGCCCGGTTCCTTAGTGAAAAATGCTGGCCTGAAAGGTGTCCTCAGGTGGAAATGAGAAGAACCAGGATATGGTCGGTACTCTTTTTAACTAATAACTATGTTTAAGAAGTGCTACTTTATTGGTTAACCGAAAGTTACTTTTATAATAATTGAAACCATTTAAAAAGTTAATTCTTCGTTAATAATTTCCAGATGAATCCTTTGCTGGTGACCTGCACTCATCTCTTGATGATCTTTTTGGAAACGCGAGATGTGGAAGTCAGGAAGGGAAACTGGAAGGAATTATGGATGAAATTAAAAGTGATGTGTGTGTTTCTTCACCTGCACTGGGAACAGGGAGCATCCATTCATCAGCATCTCCCGGTTACCTCAGTCAGTTAACACCTCGGAAACCCATGGGTAGTCTTTCCAAAGAAGAGATTCTTCTGCCAGGAGATCCTGCGGGTGAGGTAGTCACCCCGGACAAGCAGGGAGCAGCCAGGATGGTGTTTGACGAGAAACACAGCTTGTCCCCTATGTTATCTGCAACCAAACGCCGCCCTTCGGGACATTCACGATCCAAGAGCTCCTCAGCAAAGAGAAAAAGAACATCTGAGAACTCAGATGCACCCCGCGAAGAGAGACTGAAGAAGAAGAGGTGCGGTGGGAAGCCTGCCGGGCCGCGGGTGCAGCTGTGGACATCAGGAAGCCACCTGCAGCTCCCAGCTGGGCCTGCTGTTGAGACTCCTGGTTGTGGGGTGTCCTCGTACGATGATTATTTTTCACCTGATAATCTTAGGGAAAGGAGTTCAGAGGCTCTTCTTCCTGGATTTCAGCCATCTTCAGGCCTTGCTCGGTTCAGCTGCAGGGGAGGTCTTTCTCAGAGGGAGAGAAGAAACCTACTGCAGATGGCTGACTTTTCCTGCATTGGTAAAAATCCCAGGTCAGTTGACATGACCAATGTAACAGCAAAAACTAGCTGCGGTCTTCAGAAGCCTACACAGCACACAGCAGACATGATATGGGGTTGCCTGACCTCTGAGGGAATGTGTGCCGCTGAAGGAACCCCAGGCTGTTGTCAGCAGGCTGGTGCTCAGAGAAGAGCAGGCCCGCGTGCAGGAGGGAACAGATGCTGTCATGTGGATGATGATCCCACTCTGCCGCAGGGGCATGGACGGGAGGGACTTGATGGCGATTTCACTCCTCTGGAAGGGAGCAGCACGGAAATGAAAGAATTGCTGGACGTGAGAAGCGTGCAGAAAGAAGATAGCACTTCTCGAATGTGGAATTCATCTGACGGTGAAAAGCAGCGTGATCATGAGCTCGATTTTGTGGGTGATCGTACTGTGGACAAAGCTACAGAAGGAAGGGAACCGTCATCCAGTGGACATGATGGAAGTATGTGAATCTCCTTTACAAGTACCTTTGTTGCAGGAATATGTGCTGGTGTGGCCGTCTTGTAATGTCATCATCACCTTTCCATAATTAAATAGTTCCTTTTTTCCTTTTTTTAATTTTAAAGAATGTGTGTGTGATATTTTCCAGTGATGCATTCTGTAGGGATAGGTGCTTACCCCCCTCTGGAGTTTCTAGGTGTCTGGGTCCAGTCTGCTGTTAGGAATACATCTCTCCCAAGCCTTTCCATGTAGGGGCCAAGAGCCAGTGATGCCTAATGTGAATAGTTGACTGGAGCGGACACTCCCTTGTCTCTGGAGCCTCTTACAAAGATAACATGACCTTGTGCACAGAAGCATTCTGCTAGAGGATTGAGGCTGTTTATTTTAGAAGGGAAAGTAAGACAGTATAGGTATTGAATCCATCAAGAAGAGAGAAGGTACAAGAAAGTAAATGTGCAAATACATTATCAGTATTTATTTTGAAGAAACTTTGGGCAATGTTAGTTATAAAGAAAAAAAAACATTTTTGCTCAGGGTAAGAAGTTCATTGTAACAGGCCTTGTTTGGCTTCTATTTATTTTGCTTTAAGTGTATCACTTAAATAGATTTTCTCCTGTGTGTAATTTAATTGTGACCATCGTAACGAATTCTGTAATTGTGGTAATTGTGTCAAAAGTAACAACATTAGAAAACATTTCACACTTTCTGATTACAAGCACAAATAAATGTCAGCAGTCAAAAGTGATGAAATCTTGAACTTTAGCCATCTTTACATAAAGATTAGGCTAAAATTTTTATAAGACCAACTTTATTCTTCAATTTTTGTCTGCTCTCACCATGATTTTAACCGCCCTTTTCAAGCTGGAAAAGTTATGGGTGTGGAAATAATCACTGATGTGTATCTTTTGCTTGGGTATAAATTCCCCAAAATAATCTCATGTAAGAATTAATTTTGTATGTTTTTAACCTTATTTTTTATATCTTAGCTTTCTGAAAATATATAAAATTTGACAAACTATTTTATGTTGGGTTAGGCTTAGTTGTGTTTTCAAAATATTTATTTTAAAATCTTGTTGACTCTAAGGTTAATATAAATCAGTAGATATATAGAATTGTTTTGGTAGTTAAGAATATCCTGTTCTTAAAGCTTACATTCTCATTTTTCTCAGTTTTTATCTTGTTTATTTTTAAAGCCTCTGAATAATATTTAATGGCGTGCGAATATAAATTAAGTGAAAAAAAGGCTGGTTTCAGACAGTGTGGTGCACCCCATAACCCCAGTGTTGTTAAGATAAGAGTGCAGTTCTCCTTGGAAGCAGGATGTTCTAGGACTCAGCCCCGTGTCCACCGTCCCCTGGGGCCTGGGGCGCGTGGAGGACCATGAGGGGCAAGCAGTGGGCCTTCCAGGAGACTTCAGATTTCAGCATCACATGATGGGGGCTGTCACGGCAGTGGGGTGCAGCCAGGGCCCTGCGGTCACTAAATTTTACTCAGAGATGGAACAGACATTCTGTGTGGTCTAATATAAAGATATCTTTTAGAGTTGCCTTGTTTTATGTCATTCCACAGAGACAGAAGATCATTGCATGTTAGGGCAGGAGACACTTAATGTATTGTCTAGCCTAAATCTGATCCCTTTGTTTTAGAGTGAGAAAATCAAGACCCCCTGATGTTTTAAGTAGTCTATGATCAGCCCAGCTGGTTCCCCAGCTCTGTCTGGGAGTTTTCCGCAGACAGGAGGGTAGAGCCTGCAGCTTCCTGTCAACAGTCCGTATGTGCTGGAATTGGGGATCGGTAAAAATACTCTGTACATCAAGCGATACCTCCAAATCCTCTATGTTGAAATAAAAGTCTTTTTTGTCAGTTTTTGTTTGCAGTTCACTTGTACTCATTGCCCTTGTTGATCTCTAAGGTAGATAGTGTGCAGTTAGGGTCACAAGAACAAGTTACAGGGAGGTTCACTAACAAATATGAGAACATGAACAGAGAGAAACTGTTATTTATTTTTTAAAATCTCTGAAATTGCATCAACCAGTAATTTTTTTGTTTTTAAACTTCTCTCATTTTATAAACAATATGCAAATATACGCTCACTGTAACAGAAGTTGCTAAAAAGAGGAGATTTTCCTGTCCTCCTGCTCGCTTACCTCCTTCTGTTGGTTCCCCGGACATGTGTGTATCCCGAGCACCCATCTAGCTTGCTGGGAGATGGCAGAGGAGGGAACGGGGTGTGTCTCTCACAGAGGTCACGCCTAGTGAGGAAGGCACAGTGGAGAAAGGTGAGCACAACGTCAGTCTGCGAGCCATGTGACAGACACAACCACAGCCGTGCAGGCAGTTCTCAGGGGCGACCTTAGATCTCAGGCCAGGCAGCAGAGAGGAGGGAGCCCTGTAACTGCTCGAATCACGGTTCAGTCTGAGGAAACCGCAAGTACAAATGTCCTGAGGTAGAAAATGCTTGCAGGGACTGCACAGGGGCCAGTGAGGCTGCATCTCACTGGGCTGAAGGAAGGCCGGGAAGAAATGAATTAGAAAGGCAGCTGGGAGCCAGATCCTAGGGCTCGAGTACCTGACAAGACTTGGAGTGGTTTGCTTTAACTGTGATAAGAAGCCCCTGGGGGTTTTACACAGGGGAGTCGCCAGATGTAATTTCTGTGGTTCACGTCACCCGGGATGCTTCATGGAGAACGAACCGGTCAGAGTGTCTGCTAGAAACAATGCTGCCAGTCTTTCAGTGCATTTCCTTCCAGGCAATGTGTGTGTGGGTGCGCACGCGTGCATGCCCAACAGGTACAAGTAGATGTTTCAAGGGGATTTTATTGCATCTACAGGATTATGTTATCTTACTAAGATTTGCTTATTTATTTATTTTAGGGAGAAAGAGAGCCTGAGTCGGGTTAGAGGCGGAGGGAGAGAGAGAATCTTAAGCAGATTCCACACTCAGCACGGAGCCCGACTCAGGGCTCCATCTCACAACCCTGAGATGAAGAGTCGGACACTTAACCGACCGACTAAGCCAACCAAGTGCCCCTTAAGATTTGCTTTTTCAAAATGTTAGATATTTCCACACTGGCATCAGTAGAGTAACAGATCTAACTTCATTTTTTAATATAATCCACTTTAGGTGGGTCAATGAATTTTTTGTGTAATGAATCAGATAATAACTATCTCAGGCTTTGTGACCCAGGAGGCAAAATCAAGATAATGTAGGTACTTACCTTAAGAGAAAAAAAAAGACATTTTTAACAGAATTTTTATTGACACAACTCACATAAAATTGAGTGCAGTTTTTTTTTTTTTGTAATATAAGTCTAATGAGAAGAGCAGAATTCTATTTTCGGGAGAGGAATAACTTTTCACTTAATTGGGGTTCAAATTGAGTGTTCCCATCATCAAAACTGATGGCAAACATTTAGTGAGGTAGACATACAATAAGATTTTATGTGTTTTCCTTTTGAAAATGCCTTTTCATACAGATAGGTACTGCCAAATACTGCTGTCAGTCCATAAGCAGATGGTTTTCATCAAGCACGTTCATTGCATAGAAGCTGTTTTGGAAATCTGTTAGAGTCTTCACTTGGTATGTGGCTTTCAGTGTGTTCTCACATTGCAGATGAATCACTTCCAGTGAAGATTAGGTGGAAGCTCCTCAGTATTTGGATGTTCTTGCCTCGAGGCCTAGAAAACCTGGAACGGTAGCTTGAGTGCAGGGAGTATGTCCACATCACATTTGCGTGGGAGTGGAGATCTCGCTTCTTGCTGTGACCTCTGACACCACAGGACAGAAAGTGTATAAAGCTGCTTGGTGTTACTTAACTGTTGAGATGGCTTTCCACCACCCGTAGCACTGCTCACCAGAGCTCTTGAGACTGCCGCCTGAGACTGATTTTAATTGCCGAGTAGATGAAAGCTGACCGGTCCTGCTGAATCAGTGCACAGTTGGCTCCTGCTTGTTTCTCCATGATACAGGGGGCTGAGATGCTTCCAGTGGTGCCTCATGGCCATTGGCAAAAACAGAAGGAAACCCTTTCATACCCACACCCTCACCTTGTCCATTGGTTTAATATGCAACTTTCTTCTTGGGTGTGCTTGATAAAATTTTACATGTCAATACACACATTTGCTGTATCTCAGCAGTTTGGCCCTGGCCGACTATTAGATTCTTTTTCATAGGGAGTGGTCACCAGTTATTAGAGTTTGATGAAGGTTAGACTAGACTCTTCTAGTCTCAGACACACAGACGTTAAACATCTACTGGCAAGCAGATGGAGAACTGTCCACAATACAGACCTGTATGCTGAAGTCCCAGGTGTTGTCCTTCAGGTGAACCCTCCATACCTTATCTGAAAGGTGTACTAGCCACAGACAAAATCCTAGGGTTATATTTCTGTAAACTTGTCAGCATCAGGCCACCAGATGTCCTTTGACCCTGCAGTTTCTCATAGGGCCGTTTAGGGATCAAGTCTTGGATGTCATCCCCAGGGATACAAGCTGCAGCTCATGCTGCGTTATTCATACATGGGGAGAGGGATCCCCTGTAATATATTAGTCAATTCCAATTTTCTTGAGTCCATGAATTTAACTGGAGAAACATCTCTGACATCCATTATGCTGATTAACAAACTGATGACGTCACCAATTATAGCTCATTTCTTTGATCCATTTTGCCAATTAGCAAAATGTCTAATAACAACTGGGCAGAAGGATTTCTGGGAGTTGTCTCTTGAGTGTGGTATTTGTTAACCTGTTAACTGACCACTCCTGGAGTGGCTGTTTTGGATGGAGGAGAATTAGCACACATATTCGTATCATATCGTCTATGCTGAAGCACATATTTTAAATTACCTCACAGCCTTCATGATAACAATGTTCTTAGTGCATTCCTCCCTGTGAGAGAACACATCGTGTCTGCCTGACTTCCCTTGGTCAGTGGTCACTGCCTGTAGCTCTGGGTTGGGAAGGATTATGAGGCTTCATCCTGGCTTTGCAGGAAAAAGCACGTTAAATAGTACTATTACTTAGAAAATGATTAATATGGCTCAGTAAGGGGACACCTGGGTGGCTCAGTTGGTTAAGCGTCTGCCTTCGGCTCGGGTCATGATCTCAGGGTCCTGGGATCTAGCCCTGAATCCATCTCCCTGCCCAGCGGGGAGCCTGCTTCTCCCTCACCCTCTGCTGCTCCCCCTGCTGTGTGCTCGCTCGCTGTCAAATAAATAAATAAAATCTTAAAAAAAAAATTTAATAAGAATGAAGCCCATCCAGTCATAAGCATTTAGATATTATTTTGCATATTCTGAGTATTTCTTCAAGAGAAAGTGTGAATTAACTATTGTACCAAGTAACTAGGCATACCTATATATGTATTTCTTAAATATTTTAAATTGAAGAGTAATGATTGAATCTTTTGACAATTCAAGTAATACACAAGTATTGAGAAGAGTATTTCTCTCAAGCCTCTTCCCCACAACCTGTCAGTCTACTCACTGTAGGTAAGCAATCCCAACAGCTCAGCATAGGTTGGTCAGCCTTAACGGGAAGACTGGCTATAAGGAAGGTGTTAAAATCTATTCATTATTTGATTGATTTGTTCATCTATTTCATTTATTCATTAATATGTTTGCTATTCACCTACAATGTTCAAGGTACTGGCATAAATATAAGGGGAGATAAGGTTGATATGAAGCTCTATCCTTTCCCTTAACAGAGCTTAGACAGGGAAGATACAGTCGAGATAATCATATGCAAGTATCAGGGAATTTGAAAGATGTTACTCCAATGATCTCTACAGTGATTATAAAGGAAAGTATTCCATATCTTTTGGTGATCATGATTAGATTTATTTTTGAATTCATATTTTATTAGATGAATATATATATATATTTTCCTTTGGTTAGCTGGGTTTTGTTTGCATAGAACACATGAATAACTTGCATGTATCTCAAGTCCTAAAAGTATATATGGAAAGGATTTCTCCTAGGAGTCTTTTAAGGCTCTTTCTACAGTCTTAAGGTTTTACATTCTACGTTGTTCTTAAATAACTCATTATTCAGATTTTAGGGACTCAGAAGAAATTTCCTGGTGAGATATTGTTAAGCAAAATGTTATTAGACATTTTGCTAATTGGCAAAATGGATCAAAGAAATGAGCTATAATTGGTGACGTCATCAGTTTGTTAATCAGCATAATGGATGTCAGAGATGTTTCTCCAGTTAAAGTGTTTTAATGTTTTGTACCAATGAATACTGAGTGTTTAGATGTATTACTAGTACCAATGCTAGTCTTAATTCTGTGTCTTGGAAGTACAAAAGCAGGATAAGCAGGGGGCTAGGTGTTGGAGATAAGAGTGCATTTCTGGCTCCTCTTCCCTGAGCACAGTGTCGACGTGGACCAAGTTTGTCTTAAGGACATTTCTTAAGTCTCTACCCATTTTGTGTTTTTTTTGCACCTCTCTCCCTTTCCTAGCAGCTAAGTTAGTATGTCTTTATGCTGCGTTAGCCTGGTTTTGCCTCCAAGCATCACTTGGTATCAAAACCACCTCTTAATCGTGCTCATCCCTGTTAGGTGAGTGGAGGTAGGATTTAACTAATTCACACTGAGAAGTGAATGAGTTCTCTTTCCAACCTTCCTGGATGTGTTTGTATATGATGATATTGTTAACCCAAACAAATTTCTAATTGATGAAATCTCAGGCAGTATAATTTAACAGTAAAAGTTTTGGGGCTGTGAGGGTCTCTACTCTCTGACCATTTTCTTGAAAACTAAGGGAATCCCTCGTATCATGAAGTTGGAATGACAATGAAGGGCGGGACAGGAGTCTAGGATTTTCAACCTTGACCCATAGACGGCTGATAACATTCATCAGACAGGGACCAGGGTTGTGTTGTTTGAAATTTCTCTGCGACATTCAAGATAGAGGTCTATTAGGTAGTTGGATATATCAAATCCTACCCTTGCTGGAACACACCTCTTGGCAAGAGACATGGAGTTGGGACTGTTGAGTAGGGGATGACGTTATGGGACATGTTGAGACCACCCTTGGGATGTGAGAGGAGAGCTGATGACCACCTTGAGAAACTGTAGCACTTGAAGCAAACAGCAAGAGTCATCAGAGGTGGGCCAGTGGGGAGATGGAGAGGAAGTATTTGTTGCTGGGCTGTGGCAAGTAATCAAATCTGGCCGCTCTGTCCTACTAGCTTTTACAGTTACTTTGCATTTTCAGCTGCTTATGGTTTACTGAAACATCCTTAAAGGAAGCATAGTAGCAAATTGCTGTAGCAGAGTTTGCAAGATGCTGTTTTACATAACCACATAATTCAGGGGATTCCCAACTCACGATGATTGGACCTAATAATTTTTTGACTTTACTATGGTGCGGCAGCAATATGCGCTCAGTAAAATGTACTTGGAATTTTGAATTTGCATCTTTCCTGGGGCAGGCGATATGCGGTGTATACCCCGTGGATATGTGGTATAACGCTCTTTCCATACTATCTTGTGATGCTGGGCAACAGCAGCAAGCCCTAGCTCCCAGGACAACACAGAATCATAACAGTTGATAACCGACACACTGACAACCATCCTTTCCTCACACAGCCATTCTATTTGTCACTTTCAGTACAGTATTCGTTAAATTACATGAAAGAGTCAACACTTAATTATAAAATAGGCTGTGTGTTAGGTGACATTGCCTAAATGTAGCCTCTTGTAAGTGTTCTGAGCATGGTTAATGTAGGCTAGGCTAAGCTATGATGCTCGGTAGGTTAGGTGCATTAAGCGCATTTTGACTTCCAATAGTTTCAACTTAGAATGAATGCATTTATCTGGATATAACCTCATCTTAAGTTGAGGAACATCTGTACTCATATCATTTTGTGATTACATTATGTGAGAAAATGTGAAGATGCCATTAGTAATATTAGTCTTAAGTTTTAAGAGGTTATAATACATTTTTTAGACCTTTGTGTTTACAAAATGCTTCACAACCTATTCCTGGCTAGAACTGAGGCAGGTGGCTATAACAATCTTTTTCAACATGGACACACTAGCAAGCAGGAAACTTACTCATGGTGCATTAACAGGAGTGCATTGGATTCCAAATTATATCTGTAGTCCTCTACTTTTCTTATTTTTATATACTCTTGCTTTGAGTAAACATTTAGATTTTTTTTAAATGAATGGTGGGTATAATTAATATGTATTCTAATATTCTAATTACTTGTAATCTTAGATCTTAAAGATGAGAAACATTGTATCCATATCCTGCTCTAGAAATTAGAAGTTCTAAGCATTTTCAAACATTGATTGTGGAACGTAGTGGAAAGTAATGCATAGATAGATACTCTTACCTTCGAAATGAGTAAAAGAAGCATAGAATAGCTGGATCTTAGAACAGACTATCAATTTCAGAATACATGTCCAGTAGCCCATCTCCTCAGTAAGGTCTGTGGTTAGCTTGCTGGGAGAGAAGTGGAATATACCTCAAATATTAAAGATCACCGCGGAGACAGTGGGGTCAGCATGTGATCGGTTTGAGTACCTCCAAAACGGATTTAGTATTAGGGTTTAGTATAAGGTCATTCAGAACCTGACCTTAACACACTTTTTGGGGTCCAAGCTGCAAATAACAACAAGTAGTTTGAATTCAAGATAATATTTAACCATTGTTGTGCATTTTGTTTTCACTTAACAGGAATCCTATTTTGTTTTTATTTTTTTAAGTTTTATTGGTATGTAATTGGTATACAAAAAATTGCACACACTTCATGTAACAACTTAATGAGTTTGGACATATACATCCTGTTTTTTGAAAGAAGAGTTAAAAGTTTCAAATCAGGCCCTCCAAAATTAATCTTACTTCTTTTATTAGAGCATCCTATTTTATTTGAAGCATTCGCAAAGCAGTCATTCTCATGTTGTATGATTTTTAGTTTCTGATGGCACGTAGTGTATTTTTGCCTTGTATTATATTCACTTTCAATGTCTACACTGTCTATTGGGTTGTAAACTCCCTAAGAGTAGGATCAGTGTTTGTGTATCTCTGCATCTCCAGTGGGTAACCCCTGATTATTAGACATTGTTGATAAAAGCATCAATGACTGACTAGTTGGATGATGTTGATGGTGGGTTGTGTGGAGTGGCTCACCATCACTTTGATATGTCTAGGACATGAGTGTCCCCTAGGCTGCTATTTGCCTTTTATGCATTATTCTGTTGAGACCGTATACGTGATAGCTGGTATTCTTAGTCTTCCTTCAAAATACCAACTAAGTCCTATAATAGGTAAACTATTTTGGGAGGAAAGAGAGATGAGTAGCAGATTCAAAGCAGACATATCATACTTCATTGTGGGTTACGTAGGATTTCTATACTGTTCAGCATCTAATGAAACCACATTTCACCTGACGAATGTCTTCTTTTTGGTTTGTATGTCTTCATGGCAAGATGCTGGTTGGAGGTGGAAATTTGTGGGGAATAGAATCATCTGTCACTTGTAGGTTGAAACCTAAAGCTTTGTACTGTACTGAAGACTGTTTTCTAGAGTAAATCTGACCCCAAAGCTGAGATTACTTATTTCCTCTAACACAGAACTGCTTTCTCTGAGTTCATTTTGGATCATTATGTAAAAATCTAAAAATTGGAGATGGAATAGTGCCTAAGTTTTGGGCATATGTTTTCTTGCATTATCCACCGGACAGATGGGATACTGTAGGTAGAACTGGTTCATTGTCACCTGACAGGCAAAAATTGTTTCTGACCCTTGAGTTAAGTGAATTGCTGGGGACCTTGTAGTGGAATAAACTCAAAGTTCTGAACAGACCTCACAGAGCAAGTATGCAACGTATATTTAAAAGGACTAGTACTTTCATCTTACCAGTATGCATAAATTAATCTTTATTTTGCTTAAGTTGCATTAGTATTCAGTCCATGTAAAGTTCTAACATCTTCAAATCCTCTTGGATTTCAGGTGTTAAAAACGGACCAACGAGGCATGATGTTTTCGATGGCTCATTAGAAGCCTGTACGGACCTCACCAGACCTCATGAAGAATCAAAGAAAAGAGGGAAAGCCCAAAAGGTTGGTGTGTGAAAATACTATTTTAAACTCTCCAATGCTACTCCATCATAATGTTCGACTCTGGGTTAATGTCAATTAAACTAGTCTGTCCAACTTGTATTTTATTTAAAAAATTAATTATGGGTGGGTGTTGGAGAACTCTGACATGAAACTGAGAGCGTTGGTCACATTCAGGACGGAGGGTTAATATTGGTAGAACGAACTTTGCCACCGCTTTGCCAATGCACTTCTTGCTATAAAAACGCCAACGGCTTCTCTCAAGCAGAGGGTGTCTGTTGCGCCAACAATTACTGTTTTATAATCTGAATAAACACTTACTGGGTAGGAGGGGAAGAACCCAAACCTTGCTCATTTGTGAGCTCACGAAGGTTTGACTTCAAGCCGTCAGAGTGAAAGGCGCCCGTTGCCTGGTGCGTCAGCTCGCGAAGCCATAGCGCTTGCTCTCACCATGCAGCACATACATGGATGGTGTGCGGAGGACTTGACATTTCTGATTCTTCTGCATCCGCCCTCATGGCTTAAATTTAAAATCAGCCACTCACTATCTTATGCCTCATTCTTACGAGGCCGGGAAAGCATAGTATAATGAAACCTGATTTCCACGCGGTGGGAAGATGGCCCTGAAAAACAAGGAACAATCCGAAAGGAAGCAGGGATACCACATGGAGGGCACTGGGGCATCCCGGTCTTCCGGCCAAACATGAGCAGCGGATCCTCTACCTGAGGAAGAGGAATAGGGACACCTTCCTTATACTGGCAATGGTTAGAGACGGTTAAAATTACAGATCCCATGAAAGTCTGTTACAAGTGGCAGCAACTTTGATTTCTTTACCGATGTATTCTGGGTTGTCTCAGGAAAAAAAAATGACTCCCCAAATGGAAAGAATCACCCATCAGAGCGGTAGATCTGCAGGGAGACAAATTGTCACAGTCCCCTCACATGTGAGTGGTGTAAGTGACACCAGGCAGCTGGGGTCCTGGGCTCCGGCTGTTGCGAGCATCCCTGCACCTGTCACAGCTTTCTGCACCTGCCCCTTTGTCAAAAGCCAGTGACCCTCTGGCTGCATTTGTGTTTGCTTCCCTGTGTCCTCGTTTTCTTCCTAATTGCTGTATGGCTGCTTCACCTCTCTCCTTTGGGAAGAAGCAAACACCTTTTGACATTTATTCAGCTAATGCACTACTGCTCCTTCTGAAGCACTCTGTGGCAGTCCGTATACACCCCTACTTTAGACTGCCATGCTTTATGATATTATGTACCCACTTCTTACCCTCCCATGGGTATTTTCTTAGGTTAACAGGTGTACCGACTCATCTCTTTCTTGATATTATGCCTGTATTTAAAAAAAAAGAAAGTGCCCAGTAAACACTGATTACTTATTACCATAAAAACCCTTCACCCTATCTGATCACAAAGCATGTGGTTTAACTTGGAAGTTAAAATTTCAGACGTTTGACCTTGCCTGGCTTCTGCCTGATGATCACCTTGAACTGGGTCTGTGGAAGAACAGGGGTTCGAGACGTGCATCCTGGATGGGAGCATTGCCCCTTCATTCTTAGGAAGTCTCTCACCTTAAAGGGCCCCTAAAATGGGAGAACACCACCTGTGTGACTTACCCTTCCCAGTGGTATCGCATGCTTTGAGTGATAAATGCTACACAAGTGGGGAGTGTAAGGTGATGTCACTGTCGTGGTTATTAATAAAACAAATAAGTGGTCAAAAGGGAAAAGAATACAGAATAATGTATACATGCCTTCAACTGACAGGCTCAGGAACAAAAATAGTTTAATCAATTTAGTTATGTCACTTGCTCATATTTGTTTTGAAAATATTTTTTTACATTATTTTCAAAAATTTATATTTTGGTCTTTTTTTTATCGAAGAATAGTTGACACACACTGTTTATTTCCCTGAAACATTAGTTTCAGATGTACAACATAGTGATTTGACAACTGTATACGTTATGCTGTGCTTACCACCCGAGTGTAGCTACCATCTGTCACTACACACGCTACCACTGACTATGTTCCCTGTGCTGTACCTTTCAACCCCCTGACTTACTCATCCTGTAACAGCAAGCCTGTATCTTCCACTCCCCTTCATCCAGTTTGCTCATCCTTCTACCCCCTTCCCCTTTGGCAGCCACCTGTTCTCCGTATTTATGGGTCTGTTTATGCTTTTGTTTGTTTCTTCGATTAGTTTTCTTTTTTAGATTCCACATATAAGTAAAATCATACAGTATTTGTCTCTCTCTGTCTGACTTATTTCACTTAGCATAACACCCTCCAGCTCTGTCCATGTCATTACAAATGGCAAGATCTTATGCCTGAGTAGTATTCCATTTGTTTATATATATATATATATATATATATGTATATACACACACACACACACACACTGTATCTTCTTTATACATTCATCTATCAGTGACAGTTGGGTTGCTTCCATATCTTGGCTATTGTAAATAAAGCTGCAATAAACCTAGGGGTACATATATCTTTTTGAGTTAGTGTTTTTGTTTTCTTCAGGTAAATACGTAGGAGTGGGATTACTGGATCATACGGTATCTTTATTTTTAATTTTTTGAGGAACCACCATACTGTTTTCCACAGTGACAGTCCCACCAACAGTGCACAAGGGTTCCTTTTTCTCTACATCTTTGCCAACACTTGTTATTTCTTGTCTTTTTGATTCTAGTCCTTCTGACAGGTGTGAGGTGATATCTCATTGTGGTTTTAATTTGCATTTCCTTGATTATCAGTGATGTTGAGCATCTTTTCATGTGTCTGGTGGCCATCTGGATGTCTTCTTGGGAGAAATGTCTATTCAGGTCCTCTCTTATTTTTATTTCTATTTTATTTTATTTTTACTTATTTTTTTGAGAGAGAAATTGTGTGTGTGAGTAGGGGGTGGAAGTGTCAGAGGGAGACAGAGAGAGAGAGAGAGAGAGAATCCCAAGAGAGAGAATCCCACTGGTTATGGAGTCGATGTTGGGTTTGATCTCAAGACCCTGAGATCATGACCTGAGCTGAAACCGAGAGTCAGATGCTTAACTGACTGAGCCACACAGGCACCCTACCTCATGGCTTTTCAAATTTCTGTCCTTATGTATCGCCCCATATCATTCTGGATATTTTTATTGATTTCTTTTCCATTCTATCTTTCCCTCTTTATAGATCTGTTCTGATGGTAAACATAAATTTAGTTTTTACATTCCATTTATTGTGTTTTTCAGTTCTCATAATTCTATTTGGATGTCTTTTTATCCTTTCCAGTCCTCTGCCAAAATATTAATCTTGTCTTTCTTTGAGCACAATAAACACATTTATTTTGAAGTCTCTACCGGATAACTCCATTTTCTAGCTCCATTTAGTTTCTGTCTTTGTAATCTGTTGTTTCTCTTTGTTTTCAGTCATGTGTTCCTCTCATATGCCTGGTTATTTTTGATTTATCTTCGTACTAGGAATTGAGATGATTTGAGGTCAGGCTTCTAACTCTGTGAGGCCAACTATGCCCTAGGGAAAATGGCCTTCCGATGCTGGCTCACCTCTGAAGGTGTCCCCTTCTGTGATTCACTGTCTCATCAGCTCATCTGTACCTTCAGATAGCGGTTGTTTGCTTGTATCTTGTCAGCTTTACTGATTATTCACAGTGGGGAGGTTGTTCTGAACTACTCAGTCTACCATTCCTGGAAATAATGAGTGAATTTTAACAGCCATTAAAAAACAAAAAAAAAACAACCAAGGTGGTCACAGAATAAATCCTTCTCTGAGAACAGAGCAGTGAGAGACTAAGTCAATGGCAAGGATTTTTAAAGATGAACATTCAAGTTACTGTTTGCAAAAGACACAGTAAAACATTTCTTGAATACTGATAACAAAAAGAATTCAATAAAGATTTTTAGAATCTCAGAAGAATAACTACCATTGGAGGTTTTTTGGTTTAGTACCCATTTTTAGTGGGAAAAGTCAATTTGTAAATCAGTGGGAAACTATCTTTTTTAGAATTCTTACTTCAAATACATGTTTATAAATTTGTTGAACCTCTTTTATTTTGAGAATCCAGTTAGGCAATTTCATGACCTCTATAATCTTATAATATGTACATTAATGACAAGGAGACATATTTCTCCCATCTTTTCAGAGGGAAAAGTATAACACGTTATGAGCAATTTGAACCTGTTTTCTGTTGCTTGCTTAATATTGTCAAAGAGTCTGAAGAAGCTAAATATAAGATGAATCCTAGTCCTATGGTAAACACATATGAAAATTCTTTTTCTCCAAAGTTTTTTTTGTTTATTCTACTACGTCTGTCATTTTTGTTGTTGTTCAAAATATTATTATCCTCAGCAAAATTTTTATTTTAAGGTAAATCATCCCCTGGATGGCTTTTCACAAGTGGCTGTGTTATAAAACCACATTTGGGAGCCACCTCCGCCAAGCAAGGGTGTCCCATTAGAGAACAAGCTGCGGGTCGGAGCACAGAAATGTTTTAGCTGCCTTTCACGAGCCTGGAGGCTTAGAGGGAAATGAAGGCCCAAATACCTCATAATATACGAGTATACTTATTTTGACAGTGGTTAAAAAAAAGATGAAGAAGAAAAAGGGAAAGAAAAGACCCTACACACCAGCTCACAAATGCTTTAATTTCTACAAGTTTATTAGATAGAGGACAAATGATGAGTAGTAGCTTGCATATGTTCCAATGATTGCTTATTCTTACATTTCTACCCGGGTACGAGCCCCTAAGGACACAGTCCTATTCCTCTTATAGTACCGAGTACCACACACAAAAGAGGTGTTCAGTAAGTATTTGCTGAGTCAATAAGGGATGCATTTCCCTTCTGATTTTTTAGTGAACATGCTATACCATTTCTGGTGCTTTAGCCATCACACAATGTCATAATCATCTTAATGTCCCTCATTTGTTTTTGAGTAGTCTTCCTAAACTTGTTAAATAGTTTTCTGTCAGTGAAAGTAGGAAGATTTTGCACTATAGTATG